AGTTAGACTTATATACCGCTTCATAGGGCTTTCAGCTTTCTCTAAGCGGTTTACAGAGTCAGCATATTGCCCCCAACAACAATCCGGGTCCTCATCATTCAAGATTCAATGGCTTATTTTAAACTGAAAACAGCTGTTCTGATATTTGTAGAAGTATTTGCTATTGTTCCAGCTATATATCAGAAGTATTTCTGGCTAAGAACAGATGTTTTTAGAAGAACAAGCAGGCCCGTTTCAAGTCTAAGCCATTTCTAGAAACTGTTTGTCTAAATTTGAACATTTTGAACATTTTTATCCTATAGTTAAAACTGGGTATTGTATCCAGTCCTTAGTACTATGGCAAGATGTCCAAACATGCTTTAGTATATGTTTCAAAATATGAATATCTTGTTTTGGTGAAGATTATTATTTTGTAATTATTTTCACCTGTGGGGAAAGAAATGTCCAAAATGCAGAGTTGCATTCTGCCTTTGTTAGACTGAACCAAAACAAGACACAAAATAATTATTAACCAATTAATTATTATTGGGGTTATTATTGGGATTTATATATAGTGGTTGCTTCTTAGGATTTATTTATAGTGGGAAGTCTCATCTTCACTTCTTATAAAATAAAGCCCAATAAAGATTTTGGGCATTGCACTTTGGGGTACTGAAAGGGGGCAATGGACCACATCACCAGTAAGAGCTGATGAATATCTCAGGTCTAATCACAAGCAATTCCTGAAACATAAATGCCTATGGGAAGTGGGCAATTGCTGTAGGAACAAACAGCAGCAATAGGTAGGGAGGAATTTTGAGGATACACATGTTAGTATAAACTCTCAGGCCATGTGTCAGTGTAATTTTTCTGAAATGATACAATGCTAGATGAATTAATCCGTTTTTCTCAACCCTGAGCACTTTTAAGTTGAGTGGAATTCAATTCACAGAATTATCCATGCTTCTTCAAGTGGCCACAGTGGAGATACACTGAATCAGAGGAACTACTCCATAATTTTTGATGTAGAACACTGATATAATTCTACTATAGAGAATGTGCAAGTGAATTGAAAGCCATTGTGGTTAAATGGACTAACATCACGGAAATCACCGTTAGCTTGTTGGGTAACACTGGGCCAATCAGTGTGACTTAGTCCAACCTACATCATTGGGGAGATTTGTAGGGAGAAAATAGGGAGGAGGAGTATTGTACACACTGCCTTAAGTACCTGAAAGAAAGGTGAGATATAAATCAAATAAATAATAATAGCAATAGCAATAGCAGTAGACTTATATACCGCTTCATAGGCCTTTCAGGCCTCTCTAAGCGGTTTACAGAGAGTCAGCATATTGCCC